CCGGCCGCTCGCTGGGAGTTTGACGTAGCTTCTCGGGAGCCTCTGAACCTGTCGGGGGCCTCCTGGAAGCAGGTTCGAAGCATTTTGGGGGCCGATTTGGGGCTTCTCGGGGCCTCCTTTGGGCCTCTTGGGGGTCTCCTGGGGCCTCTTGAGGGGCCTCCTTGGGGCCTCCTGGCGGCCTCTTGGGGCGGAAGGCTCGAGCTTGCGGTTCGTGGTCCCCCTCTGGGCCCCCTCTTGGGCCCGTCTTGGGGCCCTCTTGGGCCATCTTGGGCGCCTCTTGGGCCGTCTTGGGGCCCTCTTGGGCTGTCCTGGGGCCCTCTTGGAAGCTTCTTGGGCCGTCTTGGGGCGGTCTTGGAGGCCTCTTGGGCCGTCTTGGACGCGGTGAAAGCCCAAGATGCGAACATGCGAAAAATATACGTTTTCCCATAGGAACGGCACGATTTTTGTTTCTTGGACCTCTCTTGGGGTGCCTCTCGGAACGTCTCGGGCTGATTTTGGATGCCTTTTGGCGCCTCTGGGCGGCGTTTTGGCGCCTCCTGGGATATGTTGGGCCGGAAGCTCGGAATTCGAGAGTGGCTTTCTCCTTCTGGGACCCCTCTCGAAGTCGTCTTGGGGTTCTCTTGGGCCGTCTTGGGGCCGTCCTGAGCCACTCGTGCGCAGCCTTGGAGCGCTCCCGGAGGCCTCCTAGGCCGTCTTGGAGGCCTCTTGGGCCGTCTTGGACGCGGTGAAAGCCCAAGATGCGAACATGCGAAAAATATACGTTTTCCCATAGGAATGGCACGATTTTTGTTTCTTGGACCTCTCTTGGGGTGCCTCTCGGAACGTCTTGGGGTGCTTTTGGGAGCCTTTTGGCGCCTCTTGGCGGCATTTTGGCGCCTCCTGGAGCCTCTTGGGCCGGAAGCTCGGAATTCGAGGTTGGCTTTCTCCGTCTGGGACCCCTCTCGAACTCGTCTTGGGGCTCTCTTCGGCCGTCTTGGGGCCGTCCTGGGCCACTCGTGCGCAGCCTTGGAGCGCTCCCGGAGGCCTCGTAGACCGTCTTGGGCGCCTCTTGGGCCGTCTTGGACGCGGTGAAAGCCCAAGAGGCGAACATGCGAAAAATATACGTTTTCCCATAGGAATGGCACGATTTTTGCTTCTTGGGCCTCTCTTGGGCTGCCTCTCGGAGCGTCTTGGAGGCTTCTGGGACCTTCTTGGTGTCATGACAGGCGTCTTGGAAGGCATCTGGAGCCATCGGAGCGCGTTCCGAAGCCGCCTGCGAACGATCTTGGACGGCGTCCGGCGGTCCGACGAGCCTCCGGGCCCCCCGGGGCCCACATTTGTGGTCGGGGTCCCGTCCCCGGGCCCCCGGACCCGGTGCGCCGTTTTACGTGTGTATATATATATATATAAAAGAGAGAGAGAGAGAGAGAGAGAGAGAGAGAGGGAGAGAGATAACGAGAGACCACCAACACAAACATAACACACAACAAAGACAGAGACCCGCCACCGCGCCTGGAAGCACGAAGCGGAGCGTCCCCACGTCCCCTGAATTCTCCGCATTGAATTCTGCAAACCTGTTTTCCCAACCATCCTGTGGTGGTGGGCCCTCGTTTTGAAGAGACAGCGCCCCACGTCCCACCTTCCTTCCTCCTCCTCCCCCTCCTCCCTCCTCCCCCTCCTTGCCTCTGCACTCGGCACACCTCTCACACGTTTCGTAGTCCCATAGAGAAATCCACAGAAGGCCCCACTGGGGGTGTTCGCATGCGGTTCCCCCACCCAGGGCAGCGTTTCGTGGCCCATAGGGAGCTCCACCGAAGGCCCCACTGGCGGTGTTCGCATGCGATTCCCCCACCCAGGGCAGCGTTTCGTGCCCCACATGGGAGCTCCACCGAAGGCCCCACTGGGGGTGTTCGCATGCGGTTCCCCCACCCAGGGCAGCGTTTCGTTGCCCCATAGGGGGCTCCACCGACGGCCCCAGGGGCGTAGTTCGCATGCGGTTCCCCCACCCAGGGCAGCGCTTCGTGGCCCCAAAGGGAGATCCACCGAAGGCAGTGTTCGCATGCGGTTCCCCCAGCCAGGGCACCGTTTCGTGGCCCCATAGGGAGCTCCACCGAAGGCCCCAGTGGCTGCTCTCGCATGCGGGATCCACACCCAGGGCAACGCTTCGTGGCCCCATAGAGAAATCCACAGAAGGCCCCACTGGCGGTGTTCGCATGCGGTTCCCCCACCCAGGGCAGCGCTTCGTGGCCCCATAGGGAATTCCACCGAAGGCCCCAGTGGCTGCTCTCGCATGCGGTTCCCCCACCCAGGGCAGCGTTTCGTGGCCCCATGGGAGCTCCACCGAAGGCCCCAGTGGCTGCTCTCGCATGCGGTTCCCCCACCCAGGGCAGCGCTTCGTGGCCCCATAGGGAACTCCACCGAAGGCCCCAGTGGCTGCTCTCGCATGTGGTTCCCCCACCCAGGCAGGCGTTTCGTGGCCCCATGGGGAGCTCCACCGAAGGCCCCAGTGGCTGCTCTCGCATGCGGTTCCCCCACCCAGGGCAGCGCTTCGTGGCCCCATAGGGAGCTCCACCGAAGGCCCCAGTGGCTGCTCTCGCATGCGGTTCCCCCACCCAGGGCAGCGCTTCGTGGCCCCATAGGGAGCTCCACCGAAGGCCCCAGTGGCTGCTCTAGCATGCGGTCCCCCCGCCCAGGGCAGCGTTTCGTGGCCCCATAGGGAGCTCCACCGAATGCCCCAGTGGCTGCTCTCGCATGCGGTTACCCCACCCAGGGCAGCGTTTCGTGGCCCCATAGGGAGCTCGACCGAAGGCCCCAGTGGCGTAGTTCGCATGCGGTTCCCGTACCCAGGGCAGCGCTTCGTGGCCCCATAGGGAGCTCCACCGAAGGCCCCAGTGGCGCAGTTCGCATGCGGTTCCCTCACCCAGGGCAGCGTTTCGTGGCCCCATGGGGAACTCCACCGAAGGCCCCAGTGGCGCAATTCGCATGCGGTTCCCCCACCCACGGCAGCGTTTTGTGGCCCCATCGGGAGCTCCACCGAAAGCCCCCGTGGCGCAGTTCGCATGCGGTTCCCCCACCCAGGGCAGCAGTCCAGAGTTCGGGCGCTCCCCAGCGCTTCTGGGCGTTCCTGTGCGGTCTCGGAGGCTCCCCGCGCGACCTTTCGAGAGGCCAAGGGCGTGTTGTTCGGGACACGCAGAACTGGTCTGTCTTCAGATGGCCCCGGGGACCGTCCTGGAGGCCTCCAGGGCTCCTCAAACAAAAAGCGCATGGTAAGCCGTACCATGCATGACGCCTTGGGCGTGCGATCGTATCCCAGAGCTTATCCATACAGTAGGTATGAGCACACCTCCAAAACAGGCCACAAGAGGCATCTGAGGCCTCCCAAGAGATCCTCACAGGCGCTTAGCGCGGTAGATGTGCAAAGTGTAAGCAGTGCCCAGGATTGCGCTTTCGAAGACAGGGTAATGCGCAGGGACACCAAGCCCAGCATGAATGATGGGGGCACGACGGCGTAACGGCTAGAAAACGGCAGACGAGTAGGGTTAGGTGGGGGCACCCTGAACAGTGAGCGATGCCGTCTAGGCGACCACGCCGAGACGTACAACTCCATAAAATGCCTGTGACGTGCATTTGGTCCGCTGTGGTCCTCACCCAGAAGATCGTCTTCAGGTGCGGCTGGCGGGCCGCCAGCCGCTCATTCCTCCAGAGAGAGTCCACTCGGCGTCGCTCACGAAGATGGGGTCGGCGATCTCGATCGTTGTCCTCCCGTCGGCTCGGCTGGGAATTATTACCACATTTGTGGCTTCCGCCACTGTGAACACTTCGGGGGCTGCCGCTAGAAGTGTCTTCCATGCCGCCAGGACGAAGAGAGTCACACGTAACAATTCTCGCTAGGGACGGAACGGCCTCCGGCGAGTCGTGTAGTGACTGGCTAGGGGATGATCCGCCCCTTGCTGGCGGGATCCGCACCCTAAGCAGTCTGCTGAAGTGGACCACGGATCATCGGCGTCCACTTCTGCCCTGGGGCTGGAAACCACCAAAGCAAAAGTCCTACGCCGAAAAGGAGGAGGGGAAGGATGATGGAGGAAGAGAATGAGGAGCAGGAGTGGTGAAGAAAGACGGGGGTGATGATGCGGAAAAAAGGAACAGGAGGGGGAGGATGAGGAGGAGCAGCGACGGAGGGGGAAAGTGGGGAGGATGAAAAGGAAAAGGATGATGAGGGGGAGTGGGGAAGGAGCAGGGGAGGAATAATGATGAGGAGGAGCGGGGACGGAGGACGAGAAGTAAGATGAAGGAAAGGAGGGGGAAGGCAAGGATGGGCGAGGAGTGGGGGTGGGCGGGAACGAGAAGGAGGCGGACCAGTGCAAACCCAAGACTAATTACCCCAGTGCGACCCTACCTAGAAGTTGGAGCCCCTAGGAGAGAAGCATTAGTTGCTATGCTATGCTATGCTATGCCATGCTATGCCATGCTATGTCATGCTATGCTGCGCTATGCTATGCTATGATATGCGATGCAATGCTATGCTATGCTATGCTGCGCTATGCTATGCTCTGCTATGCGCTGCTATGCTATGCCATGCTATGCTATGCTGCGCTGTGCTATGCTGTGCTGTGCTATGCTATGCTGCGCTACGCTGTTATATGCTGGGCTATGCTATGATATGCTGTGCTGCGCTATGCTATGCTACGCTATGCTATGCCGTGCTCTGCTATGCTAAAGCTCAGCGAAGCTAAGATGACGGTAAGCTAAGCAAATATCATCCTGAGCTAAGATGAAGCTAAGCTGAGCTAAGATGAAATATGCTAAGCTAAGATGAGATAAGCAACGCTAAGCTAAGGGGACGTAACTGGGGGAACCGCGGGGCGGATACCAGGGGAACCGCCCGGGGCGGTTTCCACTGCCCGGCCCTTATATTTATAAGGAAGCAGATCTTGAGGGGGAGCGGGGGAGGGGAAAGGGGGGGATGGGGATAAAGATGAGGAGAGGGGCGCGGGACGAGGACGGGAAACATGATGAGGGAAAGGAGGGGGAAGGCAAGGAGGGGGCGGGAGGGGGGCCGACGGGGACGATGAGGAGGAGGAGGAGGTGGCGGAGGAGGACGGTACAGCAAGGCGGAAGGGCAGTTTCACAGCGACGCGCAAGGCGGCGACGCGGCCCCCTACCAATCGTCGCTGTGCCGCCAGGCCCAGGCGCTGCCGCCGGGCCGTACCTCGTACCTGCGTGAGCGGCGAGGGGAGGGAACAGGACAGTAAGGGGAGAGGGAGGAGGGGGTGGGATCAGGAGAGGGGGGTAGGAGGGGGAGGATGAGAGGGTCCACTGCAGAGCCAACACTCATCAACAACGTTGCAGTAAACCCTCCCTTTACGCTCCCTGCTCACATGCCCCAGCAAGAACCAACTACCACTGAAAAGAAATGCCCCGTTGGGAAACAACCGTTTGAAAATTCTGAGCTGTGCCAGCGAATGATCGTTACTGTTGCATACTGACGTTGCTGAAACGTGCCAGAACACCATATATGGGAACTCGGTACCGTGAATCACCGTAAGTGTTGCGTCCTGACAATCCGACATCGTGCCAAAACACCACTTATGGGACGTCAGCCATGGGGACCTTTGAAACTGTTGCACACTCTTGAAACGAATGTGCGCGGCACTGAGGCGAGAACCACCTGGTGGAAAGGAACCGCCCTCCACCCGTGAAACGGCTGCAGGTTGTTATGACGAGTGCGCGCGGAACTCTGGCGAAAACCACATGTTGAACACGACCTGTCTTTAACCCGCGAAGCTCGTGCATGTTTTTTCACGACGAATCTGCGCGGCGCTAGGCGAGATCCACACCTTGAAAACAAGATGTCTTCACTCCGTGAAGCTCTTGCAAATTCTTGCGCAATTCATGTGCGCGACGCTAAAACGAGACCCGAATGTTGAACGCCACCCGCCCCCAGTCCGCACAACTGTTGCAAGCTTGTCAAACAGTGCGCGCGGCGCTGAGGCGAAAAGCACGCGTTGAAAACCACCCGCCCTCCATCCACGAAGTTTCTGCCAAATTTTAGCTTCAAAATCGGGAACGGTGAGGAAGTCTCCCGGCCCGCCCATCCGACTGGCCTGGGCGCGCGACAGAGGCGTCATTCAGAAGGAAAACGCCGGGGGTGGGGGGATGGGGGAAGACGAGGAGGCGCAGGAAAAAATCGTGGAGGAGAGGAAGGGACAGGATGGAGGAGGGGGAAATGGAGGGGGGGGGGAAGAGAGGGAGGAGGGCGAGGAAGAAGAGGATGAGGCGGAGAAGCCCGAGGGGAGGATGAACGAGGAGGAGGGACGATGATGATGATGATGATGATGATGATGAAGATAATGATGATGATGATGCTGATGACGATGATGATGCTGATGATGATGAATGTTTCAACGACGCGAAGAAATGGCTGCTGCGCCCAGCTCAGCGTGCAATCCTTAAAAGAGAAGAGTAAGCGCAGCACCAGCAAGCAAAAACGATCAGCTACTGAGCCAGCGGCCCCTCGAATGTCGCCGCGTCGCCCGACCCGACAACAAAAGGAAAGAGGGGGCGGCGGTCCGAACGCAGCCCCCGCAACCCGCGCCGCGATTTATCTGATAAATCGAAAACGGCGCGACAAACCAGACCACGAGCGCGCGCCTTGCCGCGCCGCGCGCTCGGGAAGGACCGTCGGCCGAAGAGAAGAGAGGCGGCAGAGACAGCGAGCTTCGCGGAACCCACGCTCCAGGAAGCAGCCGCCGACGCGGGCGGGGAAGGCGGGGGGGGGGGGCCGCGGCAGCGCGGGGAGAGCAGCAGCGAGAGAGGCGAGGGGCGCAAGAGAGGACAGAGACAGGCCACAGGGCAGGAAGAGAAGCTATCCCCTGGCCAACGCCCAGGCGAGCTGCACTTTGGAATGGCGCCGACAGCGGAGGCGAATCCGAACGCGAAACAGATCTTCAGGAGGGATGGTCGCCCCCTCACGCGAGCGCCCCTGGACACAGAGAAACGCGTCGCACATGCTCGCGCCGAGCAGACGACTGTTAGACAATGGCGGGGGGCGGGTGGGAACCAACGTCAAACAATGGAACCGGGGCTCTGCACTGAAAGCCACGGCTAAACAGGGGGCGAGGACTTGGCCCAGCTGTCGAAATTCAAGACAGACGCGCTAATGTCCCAGAGAATCAGTCGCCCCATCGGAGTCGCATCGCCAGCAGCACTTATCAATGCCACTGTGGAACCTCGCGCTCGCGCGCGCACCGCGAGAGAGAATTCGCAAAACAGCAAGCCCGAGATAACAGGAACTGGCGGCAACGATCTTGCGAATGCAGTGGGCAGCCGCCGATGCTTGCATCGCTGGACTCGTTCGAATAGACGGCGAAGCGGAAGAGGGGTCGACGGTTGGGCCCTGGGCCGCGCCACAAGCTTCTGTTGGAATCCCCCAGCCAGGAGGAACGCACTACAGAGGGATATCTTCTCTTCCCATGCATCGATAATCGACCGAACAAATGTGCACTGCCACCGCGGAGACGAAACACCAGCGGGGTGAAAATCATCGCGCGACCAGAAGTCAGTCAGGGGCGCCCGGGATTTCTCAAAGACCCGAGAGGCGCGAGCAAGACGAACTTGGTTTGCAACCCCGACCATCGCAAGGTCAGGTGACTCAACCGATAGACCAATATCTTTCATGCGAGTGCACATTGCTCGGTTGAAGGAGAAACGCAGGCCCGCCATCAGCTTCTGTTGAATGTTACTCCCACAGCGCGCGATCGCTTCGGACACGTGGTAGAATTG